TAATAAATAAGACGTACTTGTACTTTTGACCTCCTCGGATCCAAAACCGATCCCAGCTATCACTGTGTTCCACTGTGACTCCAAATCGTTCCATCAACTTCAAAGTCATCTCCACATAAGGAATGGAAATCAGTTTATCAATGATCTCAACTTCAACATCTCCAAGAGCCAAAGGCGCTGCCATAAGCAAAGCAGTCAAGTATTGACTGCTAATTGATCCAGAGAGCTTCACCTGAAAACAACACATAAATATAGATTAAAATGATGACCTTCGTCAACACTGCAGGAATTACCACTACAAAGGCTTAGTTCAAAAGAAGGAAACTATTGCAAAATATTTATTGATTTATTAATTAGCATGAGATAACATCTGCAAAGAGTTTATATATCAAATATAACAAATGACTAAATCATGTCCCCTTTTTTCTTTTTCTTTTTTGAAACCGCCAAGTGCAAGAAATCAAAATGGGTTCTCTTCCCTAGAAAAAGCCAATGAATAATTGGGCAACTAAAACATTATATATTGCATAAGTTCTCTGCTTTTTAACTAAAGAGCTTCAGCTTCCCAAGAACTTAAGAGCTTCAGCAAATTCAAAAAAGAAAACATAAGAGACTCAGGAAGAAGAAATCATATTTTGACACATACAAGAGTGATATTTTATTCTCAAATAACACAATAAAATTCAGAGACTATTATTGATCAGACTTTCATAGTATCCTATTGTCTACAATGAATTTGATCAAGAACAAAACATTAAACAACCATTACTGTAAAAGATGATGCGAAACATACCTTTCCCCCTGGAAGGCCTCCCTTTCCAATTACACGGACAGGAGGGCAGTTTGTTCCAAGAAAACAATCAACATTTGCACCAAGCTGCTTAAGACCAGCAACCAAATCTCCAATTGGCCTCTCCCTCATTCGGGGCACCCCATCAAGCACATACCTGACCATTTTTAATATTACAGGAAAGTCATTGAAAATATGAAACTCGTTTGTAGCGAATTCCTATAAAACCAGATTTCAAGGATGCTGAATTACAATAAATATGTAAGTATTTAACAGAAAATTGTTCTGTCATGTAAAATGTTGGGGAAAAAAATATCCATCCAAGGGGGCAGGATCACAATTTTAGTTTAATATGGAAATCAGACGAACCTCGAATGTCCACCAGCAGCAACAACTGCAGCCGTCAATGGCCTCATTGCTGTACCAGCATTTCCAAGGAAAAGTTGCACCTCATCTCCTGATTCATTACCCAAAGGAAACTGACCACCGCAACCCTCCACAACTGCTCGCTTGTTTGCCTTGTCCTCTTCCACATTGAGCCCAAGGGTTTTCAATGCACCAAGCATATAATGAATATCATCACTATCTAACAAGTTGTCTACAACAGTTGTTCCCTGAATAATAGCATGAAAACAATAGTTATGTAAAGAAATCTTGAAAATAAAATTTATGAAGCAAAAGGAAGTATCATCAATCACTCTATCGAACAACAGAATTCGTTCTCTCTAATAGGATAACTTGGTTAATACTGTTCCAGCAACTCAATTTGCTTTAAAGAGTTTCCGATCCACCAACCAGAACCACATTCTAGTACAATTAATTAGTCGACAGAAACATATCTGATCTCATTCCAGTTTTATTAGTTATATCCCCCCCAAGTACATTTCAGATACCAAACCACAAAATATTCAATCTACTTATCAACCAGACAGAATCCTTTTCTAATCTGTAATGTAATTGAAAACTAAATTAGTGAAAGAATGGATAAGCCCAATTATCAAAATCTAGAAAAATTGTTTTAATTTCTTTCCCACATCTTTTCAACAACCAAACAACGGTTACCAATCCCAAGCACACTTTACCAGGCTTATATCAAATTCAAATCAGCTATAAAGACACTCTTTTTTATACCTCAGATAGAGCAGCAATAAGCAGAATCCGATTCGACAACGACTTGGAACCCGGCAACTTTATGGTGCCCGAGATTTCTTTGATGGGCTGCAACACAATCTCTGGAACTGTCGACGGCTTCTCTGCTGTGGCAACTGAAGCTGAAACTCTAAGGGGACCAACCCTCACTTTGTCGACCTTACAAGTACCCAGAAACCCTTTTTTCATCTTCAAACTCAAAGAATTTGAGGATCCCGAAAACTGTGACTTCAATGAGAGTAAATTTGAAGATTTGGGTATTTGGGGTTTGGAAACATTGGGCAAAAGATTGGTGCTTTGAGCTCCATTGCTACAGATTTTGCTCACTTGGGCCATCTCGCTCTCTCTCTCTCTCTCTCTCAAGAGTTGTCTCGCTTTCTCTCTCTCTTTTAAGAGTTGTCTCGCTTTCTCTCTCTAATGGATGCTTGGCGGAATGGAAAGTTGGGTTTTTGGTGGGAGTGGTCGTAGGTGGCGATTGATGGACTCTCTCTCTACCATTTACCAACCAATTCTGACACCAGAAATTTGAAATATAAATGAGGAAGTTCTATTTTCCCACGTGGGGAAATTTGTATATTCAACATGTTAGGTGCCTGCCTTTGTGCTTTGAAGGGTTGTACCTTGTGCTTTGAAATGGTGTACTCTGCCTTTTCTAGGAAAAGAAAAAGATTTAGAGGAGTTTTTGGAGTATTTGTTCACTAATTGGGTTGGTAGGGCTTGCTCGGAATGGGAAATAAAGAGTGTCACTATCTCTCACCAACCCCCTTATCAGGAGGTCCATGACATTATTCATTTTCTGTAGTTAGGAAAAAAAAAATTCTAAAAGAGTTGGAGCTCTGATTAGCCATCGCGTGACCATACCAACCACTTGATGATCCAACAACAGAAATTCATTAATCACTCTCCATTCCATATATCATTTTTGTCCTTTTTGTTGCCTTCAAAAAGTTAAAATTTAAGGGCAAAGAGTTCGTAATTTTGTAAATCAAGTACTTAACAGTATTTACTCATATAGACGCAACTCTTATATTCAATTAACTTAGAAGCACAAACTAGAGCACATATCATGTTAAGTATGGTTAATACTTACTAGATGCGAACCAAAGAGATTGCACAATACATGTGTTGGCTCATGCCTTATCTTTGATATGGACTATTTTGACCTAAGAAGTAAACTCGACAAATGCCCTATTCATGAGGTCCTATAAAAAGGAAAATATTTGCCTCATTCCTCTGAAAGTAGAAATTCCTAACTTTCTACCAATCATAATTTGACACATTGTACACAATTTTTTTGTTTATGTTTTAAATGAATTATTTGCGATTTGGATGAAGGAACCCAGCAGTGTGACAATGTCCAAAATAAAACACAAGCATACAGAGACTTAAGTCATTCTTTTCTTCCCCTTTCCCAGGGGCTCTCCTTTCCATCTTGTCCCACATTTGCTAAGAAACTCTAACCCTAAAATCGTTTTTGCCTTATTTCACAATTTTTTTTTTGCTTTGCTTTTCCTTTCCTTCATCTGGATCCCACGAGTCATCACCTCTCTCTTTCATTTCTTCTTTATTCAGAATCGCATTGGATCTACAACTTCTAACCCTAAATATGAGAACTTGCGTACTTCTCTTCCCAATATTAAAAGAGGTTTTCAAACTCAAAATTTAAATTACTAAATTTAATGAAAAAAAAACACTCATGTTACATGAAAAAGTGGACCTTGAGAATCGAGGAAGTAGATATGGGCCATTATTTACAAGATGGGTCGTCTCACATGTCAGCCTGCACACTGCACATCATATTCGCCTGCAACATGTTGTTGCACATGAAAAACAAAACAAACAAAACAAAACATGTTTACTCATGAGTAATTGAAAAACCAACACATTTACACATGTTTTATCGCTTAAACATGTGGAAAACAACCCTTCAATTGCTCTCTAATTGGAAAATATTAGACAAAGATTAACTCATTGAAAATTAACAAAGTTCATTAAACCTCTTTCTCCTTGTACTAATTTCTCTGGTGTGCTCAAGAACTTGTGTGTTTCCATATTCTTCACAAATCTTCAAAAAATGGGCTTTCCCCAGAGTCATTTTGGGTTGGCCTGTGTTGATCCTTTCTGTGGCCATTTTATTTTCCACCCTCCCTTCAAAAACAATCTCATTGAATCAAAATTAAGTGTGTTGGTCAATTGGTAGATAAGAGATTTAGGTGACAAATCTCATGCATGCACATGTGCATCTTACTCTAATGGTACTTTTCATTTGTCAATGTTGTGGGGAGATGCCTGGTTGAAGAGGAATATAATATAGCATAAATATATACCTTGTGCATAGTATATTCCAAAACTCACCAAATTAATTCTCACTTTCAAAATCATGATATGGAAATTTGAGGTCATTATTTTCCTTTTTGTAAATTGGGATATAATATGCTCAAACAAATCCAAGTAGAGAGATATAATAAAAGAATATGCTCAGTATGCTGAATATGCTGTAATTCTCTAAACAATATTTTAGGTTAAATTATAATTATAATATTTTTGAAAATTGGGTCCCATTGCCAGCACAAAACTTCACTGTCAATTCCAAAGAAAGATATTTGAGGGGAGGAAATACCCACCTCTGTTAAATGCACCTTTTGCTAACACCCATGCTTGCATGCATATCATTATATCATATCAATGAATTTTTGGTGGTAGAAGACAACAAAATGGATAGGTGAGGGTGAGGACAGCAGCTTCAAGAACCACAAACTTAAGGGTCAGCATTTGCCCTTCATCACCCACGTGTGGACCCCATGGCTATGGCATGCCAATTTTCTTACACAAATGGATTGCCTACTCTCTTTTGAATGGCTTGAAATCAATGTGCATTATCCAAATCCAATTCATTTTAGAAATTAGAATACATACAAAACCACTTTTATGGAGGGAACAGAAACCCTTTCTCTAGTCACCCATTTCACTTGGTTTTCCTGGAATGGAAAGTTAGGGGGGGGTGTATCGGGGAAGGCCAAAAACTAAGGCACCAAATTTGGCAAAAATTCTTTGACTGCTATGAGAAAGGATATAACTTTATTTACCTGAAAAATAACAGTTACAATATTTATTCCGAGTGTAAGGCTGCCCTTCTTATTACAAAATAGACAATCCCAAATAGTTTCTAAGTTACAAAGTGAAGAAAATGATGGAGAAAGTGAAACTCATTGATAACCACAGAGCATTAGCATTACAAAACTCAAGACAGGTCCAAGAGTTGTTACAAAATACAAGAAGAGCATTCTCATACCCTACCGTCTCTTTTGATCTATGTTGCTTCACTGAAGAATTATAAGCAACAAACGAAAAATAATATTTTATTAAAACAAAAGAGACCATGCTGTGAAACAAATCACAAGAATATGGCCTCTTACCTTGATCTCCAACCAAAACCAAATTTGCTAAATAACAAGTTGCCTAGCTAACTTCTTTTGCTGCTGCAATAACTGCCTCGACGGTAAGGCCAAACTCCTTGTATATTTTTCCAGCTGGTGCACTTGCCCCAAAATGATCAATTCCAATAGCCTTTCCTTTGCTTCCAATAAGCTTTTGCCACCCAAATGTTGATCCAGCTTCAATGCTAACTCTTGCTGTTACTGCAGCCGGCAAAACACTTTCCTTGTAGGCATCTGATTGGTCATCAAAGAGTTCCCAAGAAACAAAGGAGACAACTCTAACAGCCTTCCCTTCCTTTCTGAGTTCCTCACCAGCTTTGAAAGCAATTTCCAACTCGGAGCCAGTTGAAATCAAAATGACATCTGGCTTGTTACCTGAAGAGTTGTCTGATATAATGTAACCACCCTTCTCGACTCCCTCAATGGAAGTCCCAGGAAGATTGGGCAGCTTTTGGCGAGAGAGGGCGAGGATAGATGGCCTCTTCCTGTTAAGGACTGCAACCCTGTATGCCCCAGCAGTCTCATTCCCATCAGCTGGGCGGAGCATCAAAATGTTGGGCATTGCCCGGAAACTTGCCAAGTGCTCTATTGGTTGATGGGTTGGTCCATCTTCTCCAAGCCCAATTGAATCATGGGTCATAACATAGATAACTCCAGCCTCTGACAAGGCAGAGATCCTTATGGCAGCTCTCATGTAGTCTGTGAAAACAAAGAAAGTGGCACAGTATGGAATGAGGCCAGGGCAGTGAAGGGCAATCCCATTGCAGATGGCTCCCATCCCATGCTCCCTAACACCGAACCTAACATTGCGTTCTTCCGGGGTATTCTTCTGGAAGTCTCCAAAACTTTTTAGCAAAGTCATGTTCGAAGAAGCAAGGTCTGCACTTCCACCAATAAGACCAGGGAGAACCTTCGCAAGGGCATTTAGGTTTGCTTGAGATAAATTTCGGGTAGCATCAGCTGGGCTCTCTGGAGTGTAAGTCTGGAAAATTGCAAACAGTAGACCTCATAAGATGACTTTAATATCCAATCCTAACTAGCTACATTAATATACAAAATGGTTTGTCACAGAATCTGCAAAGTAGGCCTGGCCAATTCTGAGACTAAGTTAAGGTGCAGGGACCCAAAAGAAGCCAAGACATGATACCAATGCCATTCAGAATGCTTGCGCCAATGTTTTTGCGCTCATTGCCAAGTATCCCGCATGTAAAATAACTAAATAGGTTTTTAAAGATAAAAAGAGCAATTAAAGGTAGAGCTCTACTCACCGGAAGTGCTTTTTCCCAACCAGCTGGTAGCTCACCCGTAATGATGGACTTCAGCTCTGCAGCTTCCTCCTTGTACTTCTTCTCATATTCAGCAAACTTGGCATTCCATTCAGCTTCAAGAGCAGAACCCTCAGCGGCATGGCGACTCCAATGACTAAGATAGAAACAAACAAGATGATCTGTAATTATTGCTAGTAAACTGATTAAAACAATAGAAATTTAATGGGGTGGTCCTTACCTTTTAACATCCTCTGGCACATGGAAAGGCTCATATGGCCATCCAAGGTTCTTCCGGGTAGCATCCACTTCCTTGGCACCCAATGCAGCACCATGAACACTGTATGAGTTTGCTTTGTTTGGAGATCCAAAACCAATGGTTGTTGTCACCTGCAAAGATGCAACAGTCCAATATGGCATTGACTAATATCAAATCAAAATGAACTCTGACAAAAAGACATGTTGTGGAAATGTCATATCAAATTCCCTTTGAACTCCAAAAATAGGCATTTATACCAAAAAATCATGTAGCTTGCCCTCTTACTAAGATTTAACGACAAAGCTGTTTGAGCTATTATACCATTACCACAACTATTAGACCTTTTCCAATAAAGAAGTGACAAATATAATAGTTCATAGATAATGGTTTTTTTTCTTCAAATCACATCCAAGTGTACTATATTCAACATTCAACAATTTGAAAAGAATGCAGCATATATCTGACCTTTATCAAAGTGGGTCTATCTGTGACAGCCTTTGCTTCCTTGATGGCAGCTCGAATCTCATCATACCCGGTGTTTCCATTCTTCACCCAGATAACGTGCCACCCAAGACCCTCAAAACGGGTATCAACACTCTCAGTGAATGCAATCTCAGTGTCTCCATCAATGGAAATGTGGTTATCATCATAGAAGGCTATCAGCTTCCCAAGTCCCCAATGCCCCGCAAGAGAAGCAACTTCGTTTGAAATACCCTCCATTTGACAACCATCACCCAATATAACATATCTGCAGTGAAACAACACCTATACTGCTAAGCAAAAATCAAAGAGTGGAAGGGATAAAAACGAGTTCAAATGTCAAGGTAGTTATTTTACGTGTAGTGGTCAACGATCTCACTGTCTGGCTTGTTGTAACGTGCAGCCAAGTGCTTCTCAGCAAGGGCCAAACCAACAGCATTTGCAATGCCTTGCCCCAAAGGACCTGCATAAAACGATGAAAATTTTAAGAATACCATCTAAAGCTAATGAATTTTTTTTCCCTTCTAAAAAGAGTAATCAATTAACCTACAAACTCATAAGTACTTCAATAAGTACCAGAAAATCGAAGAGAGAATCTAACCAGTTGTGACTTCAACACCAGGTGTCTCAAAGTTCTCAGGATGTCCAGGGGTCTTGCTTCCCCATTGACGGAAGCCTTTCAAGTCTTCTTCCTACTCATTGATCCAAATTCAAATCATACGGTCATACCCAATGTTCAGTCAATTATATGAGAACGAATGAATCATTAGCAAAGTTAACAATAGTGATAGATTAATTTATAAGTGGGTGACTGGGTTAATGAAACAAAAGGCACCCATATCCCAAAAGTACAAACAGAAGTAAATGCCACTTCAAAAATTCGTTAAGAACAAACCAATGAGCAAGTGTCTTTACACCTGTTTTCATAAAAACAGAAAAGCAATGTAATCATAAAACCTCACCAGACAAACATGCATATGTTCAAACACATGAATTTCCCAAACAAACATGCCGAATCAACTCTAGTGTGTGTTGAGAGAGAACAAAAAGAAAAGGATATCAGAAAATTAAGCTCAAAGCTAAAACATTTTTCCACCAATGTCCTAATTCTCCACCAAAACACCAAAATACAATCCGCATAACGCAAACTCATTTTCAACTCAAACATACAATAGACATACAACCCAGAAAAAAACCCACCTTGACACTGTCATATCCAGCAAGGTGAAGCAAAGCGTACTGCAACATACACCCGTGTCCAGCAGACAACACGAACCGGTCACGGTTGAACCAGTACGGGTTCTTGGGGTTGTACCTCATGATCTCATCGTACAAAATATGACCCATTGGAGCACAGCCCATGGGCAAACCGGGGTGACCAGAATTGGCCTTCTCTACAGCATCAATGGCCAAGAATCGGATCGTGTTGACCGACTTCTCGACCAAAGAGGTCTCTGTGGTGGTGTCCAGAGTCTCGACGGCGGCGGCCCTGACCGGCCTGTTCGCGCCTAGACGGCGGCGCTGGAACCGAGAGAGCTTGGATGATGTCGAAGACGACGATGATGGCGACGATGAAGTGGATTTGAGACCGGAGAAAGTTGGTAGAGTGAGGGCTGCAGAAAGAGAGACCCGGTCTGAGGTTGAGCTCGAGCCATGGTGAGAAATGGCGCGAGCCAAAAGGGCTTGAGACAGAGTCACAGATGTAGACGAAGTCATGGCTTTTGCTCTGTGGTTCTGGCTATGGCTCAGAGAGATTGACAGAGAGATAGACAGAGAGTGAAAGAGAGAGACTTTGTGAGAGCCTGTGAGACCGTTTGAGGCTCTTTGGTTTTATCGGATAGGAGAGCTGGGCTTTGAGCTTCTCGTCTGCACAAGAGGACAGGTAGAGAGATGAGCTGACCGTTAGATTCAGCACAGATCCAATCTCGGCCGTTGACTGAGGGTAGGAATTAGTGAATGCTCTACCTTCCATTTTTTCCACTATCTAAACAAAAATTGTCTCAATTTTTGTTTTTGTTTTTTTTGTTTTTTTTCATAACTTTTGGTGGAATGTCAAAAACCAGTTTTTTGGGGTGAAATTATTTGTATTTTCTGACTTTTGCTTTGTGTATTTATTTATTTATTTGTTGATGATTGCTCCCACATCGGTACATTCATGTACCACCTTGGTTTGTTCGATGGCTACCTCTTTCATAACACTTTTTATGTTTCACGGGATGATGAATCGTATTTTTCATGAACCCTTGCACAATAGAAATGTAAAAGTTTTTATCTTTTCAGTTTTGGAAGCTTTCTCAAGTTTCAATTCTCCCTCTTTTGTTTGGAAAAAAAAATGGTATGGAAATCAAGGGTTGTTATATATAACCACTCCCAAATTTGAAACTCCTACCTTATTTCCTAATTTAAGAAATCTTTCTTAAAAAGAAAAAGAAAATCCTCAGTAGCCAATCATTGCCTTTGTACCAAATTTGGTGGGTTGGTGGAAAGGAAAGAAAGATGAAAGAGTTTGGTGGAGGGATGGTCTATGAGATCTATGTCAATACGTTATGTTTTTTTATTTCCTTTGTGTTGAAGATTTGTTCAATAAAAACGGTAAAAGTTGGTCAGGGAAGATATATTAACCCCTGACATAAAAAAAAGAAAAAAAAAAGAAGATATATTAACTTCTAGTCGGCCACGCAAAGTTCAAAATATGCTGCAATTTCAGCAGCAGATGTTTGACAAATGCAACTTTTATTTATATTATCTTATCTTTTTTATTTTTGCTGACCTATTATTATTATTATTATTATTATTATTAATGTCTCCACATGGTGCATACGACATTCAATAGGAGAAGAATATAATCCATATAGTCTAAGGAAAAAATAAAGCAATTGGCTGATACTCTCTCTGCTAAAGTGAGTCTACTTAAACCTAAAATAGTAATTTAAGTCTCTATCATTTCTATTATAAATATCAACAACCCCCATTCATTTTCAAAGAATTAAAAAATTATTGAAAAAAAAGAAAAGAAATTAAAAAAACAATAATTACAAAAAGTAAATAAATAAAAACCTTGGCTAGCCATGGGTGCTCATGCCATGACGTTCACAATCGATGGGCAATGGTCATCATTAGGTGGGTGTTTTTTTTTTTCTTTCAAAGTTTTTATAAGTATAAAAAGAAATGAATACAGACGATATTCTACTTTGTATTCCCTTAGAAAGAAAAGAATAAGATGATAATCCCCGAGAAGCATAATCAAATGGGAGCATAAATTTAGTCTAAGCAATGTTTCTTATAGTTCCCCTACAACACAGAAGGTACACTTTGAATAGGCATGCTGCATACAATATAAATAATATGAAAGATTGCTTAGACTTCATCTAATTCAAAATCTTACATCAATTTGATTCGCTTATGGTTTGAAGCAGTATTCCTAATCCCTTTCCTGGTCACAGAAAATGGAGCTGATGCTGATTTCAGAGAAGGCGACTTGTCTATGTGTGCATTTCGTTCATCACCGTTCCAATACAGTATGACTCGGTTTGTGCAACAATGTGACCAGCTATCACCTAGACAGTATAATGAAACAGGAAACTGTCAAGGACTCTCAGGGAAGCCAAGTGATTACGGAAAGTACCATATTAACCATTCAACCAGTTGGAGTTGGAGGTGGGTTCTAACTGAGAACAGAACTTACCCAATGCAAGACTTAATTGGAATGAACCTTCTTTATGCTTAGTGGTCACTTGATTGAATATGACAACCTGTTCATTAAGAAGGAGATTTCAATTGTAGGAGCCGATTTCACATATCACCACGGGCTGCTAATTGCACAATAAAGTTAACGCAAAAAACGTTAAGGGCAACACATGTCCATATCAACACACACACAAACACTTACTATGGCAATCTAACAAGTAGAAGTAACTAACTCTGAAAAACATCAAACAGACTACAAGCAATAGCCTATACTAATTTGAAAATATAAACCATGCTCTAGTTGGGCACAGTAAATCTGTCCTAGATCTTGCTAAGAAACCTGTCAAATGATAATGGGATATTCCTTGCATTCAAATTACATCAACTTATCTGGCATCACAACATATATGATGAGCTCGCTAGTCTAGAGTTCTTTTCAAGAAATGAAAACCATTGCTTACCGCCAGATTATATTTATTTGCAAGGTTCATCAACTTTAAAGCCATTCCGCCAAGTAACCGTGTCCTGAGAGCCAAGTCCTCAAAATCTTGGCGGAAGTGAAAAGTAACACTATCAATAATCACAATCTTAACCTGAACATTGTTTGGAAGAAAGTTTAGTACTTCCAGTGATGAAAATTATATATAGTGCATGCAATGATAATCGAAAGGAGATCCAGTTTCAGCTAAAAGAAATATTAATAAAACTAAGCAAGGCTTAAAGGTACATATAAAAATAAGCCAGATTAATTGATCAACAAACAGAGCAAATGAAGACATGCTCATAGAAAAATGACGACTTCCTTGCATATATGATTCTATGAGAAGCATTAAGTTCCAATTCAAATCAATATGTTAATGCTATACCTACATCGTTATGCTCCAAGATGAATTTGTCTAAGTGATTTATCAGGGCAATCTGCTCCGTATAACTGCAGATGCGGAAATAAAATATGTTTTTCAAGATATCAGTAGGCTGAATTTCAACTTGGCAAGTTCGAAGTTCCTTCCGCAGAAGCTCATTGTAATGTGACATGTCCACTACAGAAGCTTCGGCAATTTGTAGAGCCCGCTCCACCATAAAGCTGCCTTCCGTATCTAAGTATCATGCAAGAACCATGTTCTAAACATCAGATGCAACTGGAAACCTTTGTCAAAAACAGAATAAGACAGAAAAAAAAAAAGTTGACACACTGACCAATATATACTGCCTTTCCACCTAGGCCACCAAAATCAACTGGAATTTGCACGTTCACTGCAAGTTGAATGCTGCAAAGCAAACTATGCATTTGATGCCCTTGAAAACAAATGAAAGAAAAGATAGAAAATAATAGAATGCAGAAAATACATACCCCAGCTGTGTTTTACCGATGCCCGGTACTCCACCTATTTTGATAATAAAAAAGAAGAGAAATCCAATAAAATCATCTGGACAACTGAAAGCTTGCTACAGTTTTGTGCTCATGCATAAACAATGCAGACAAAAGCATACAAATGGAATAACTAACCAATTTCAGTAACTTCTTTGCAATTAATTCCCCCACCGAGGATGTTATCTAGATCAGCACAAGATGTCGTGATGCGTGGAAATGATTGCTCCTCATGGAGCATTTCCCAAGCAGTTTGTGCACCTAAAGAAGACAGGAATTTTTTTTTACTCTTTTAACTTCAGTTTTCAAAATATACAAAAAATGGTGGCATAAACTACAGCTTGAGAAAATCTTTCAACAATTTAGACACAAGAACAAAAGGCTTTCATATAAATAAAATGATTGAGGTTACAGAAACAAATGCAAATCAACTCTAATAGCACAAAATAGTTACAGAAAGACTACATTCAAACTTTCAAAGTGATGATTAATCTGCTTGTGATCAATGGCAATGCATGACAACCAACAAAGAGGTAACTTTAGTTCTACAAAATGGAGAAGAAATGACATATAATCCAAGTATTATATGAATTAACGATCGAATGCAAGACAGAAGCCAGTACGTATCAGACTTATCTTAACTGAGGGTTAATCTGTATGCAAGAAGTTCAAAGATAAGTCACACTTGTTGTTGGGTTAAGAACAAGTATCAACCTTAGGCAACAAAGGAACTTTCACCTGACATAGATTTAATAAGTGCATATATGGTGTGTTGTATCCACTGGCACTACCAGCAAGGAAATTATACAGGCGAAACCACATTATTGTCCAACATTTGATGGAAAATGATGGTGCTATAAGGCATATTTACAAGGGAAGATAAAGTGTGGCCAACTACACTCTTAGCTGGGCACTTAATGATGCAATTATATTTGGCTCTTGTGAACTTGCTAGTGAAGGCACAACACCAGTAAAGAAGGACACTAAAAGGAGAAAGACATTTCATATAATTTTTTTTTTCTTTATAGAAAAAACTACTCAGTTAAAGAAAAAGTTAGTATAGGGTACGTATGACACGCTATTTTCAAATGGTCAATTTGGATCATGGATTGGATAAACCTTTCTAAATGAATGTCCCTGCTTAACAATCTGACAAGAGAACATTTTTTTCTACTTAAGCACTCGCATAGATGGGTCAAAGAGATAATTACCATCAGTTAAAGAAAAAGTTAGTATAGGGTACGTATGACACACTATTTTCAAATGGTCAATTTGGATCATGGATTGGATAAACCTTTCTAAATGTATGTCCCTGCTTAACAATCTGACAAGAGAACATTTTTTTCTACTTAAGCACTCGCATAGATGGGTCAAAGAGATAATTACCAGTGAAAATGCCATTACTTTTATCTGGTTGGTCCAGCCTACAGTCGTGTGATGCAACCTTCAGGATTTCAAGAGCTTCACTCTCTGGAATTTTTAGATCTGTTAAACAATAAAGAATGCTAAAAAACTTCAACCATCACATCTCAAAATTTTATTAAAATCAATGTGGATTTCCTTAAATAATTGGACCAAAAACATGACATACAGAACTTATTGGAAAAGTAACATAGAAGCCATTGTCAAAAGAAGATTTATAACACCATTATAGAGAAAAAGAACTGCACAAATACATTACTACTTTTATTGCTGCAATACCATCCAAAACTATCTTATTAAAAGGTACACCGTGGAAACTCAGGTCACATGGGTTATCTCTCCCGAATTCAGACAGCATTGAAAATACTTCAAATTTTAATTTTACCAGTTCAAAAGTTTAAATTACAATTAGTAGGATTTAGGACCATCATGCACTGTTATATAAGAACCTTTGAACTACCACAACCCAATTCATTCCATATTGCATAATTTTTTTTCTCTTCAAAAGTTATATGGGAACTTGAAAGTATGAAGCAGTATTGCGTAAAGAACTTAAGGGGTAATTACCTCAAACATTTGGCGAGCAAGCCCATAAGCTATCAATTTGAATCAAAACCCAACAGAGAAAATTAGAAAAAATTAACAGCAGAGAGAAGATTACCTCGAGCAAGGTCGGAGGGAGAGAGAGATGAGAGCGAAGCGAGAGTGGTATAGCCTGCTGAGATCAGTTTGCCTCTCTGTGATGCTGAGATTGGTAACCTTCCCACTTCCATAGTGTAGATTCTAGAGAAAGAAAGAAGTAGGTTTTTCAACGTATAATAATGTTGGGGGAAAGTGGAGGGAAATTTTGGTGCACGTGTTGCACGTGTGTTTAAAGTTACTGCAAGTTATGAGTGGTCAGAAAAAAAAAAGTAGGGTAATTATGGAAGGCAAAAATTTGTGGTAAGTAAGATTGATAACCATCCTAGTTTTAATTTCTAAATTTGTTATTGAACTTGTTCAATTCAGGAAAAAGATGAGATTGACATTTCATTATATTTGGATCTTTGGTTGACAAAGAGAGTTCTTAAATAAAAAAAACAAATAACTTTTCGTTACATTTCTTTTCGCAATATTAAAAATGTTCGGAAATAGTAAATAATGTTGGCAATGGCAATGAAGCTATTCGGTGATTGAATTTGTAATTTTAGAAAACTACTTGTTCATATAACTTTTTCTTTTTAATTTTTATTCTGTGTACAAATGAATTTGGATATTACCTTTCATTTAAACAAGTTTTTATAGGCAAAGGACCCACTAGTGTAGTGATTTGAAGCAATTGCTCCCTTAGGTAAGGTCTTGAATTCGAGTTCTAAACATCCGTGTAGTGCGTGTGAGTTTAGTATACTATCTCTCCTCTTAATAGAAAAAGTCCTTTTAAAAAAAAGGGTTTTTTACACTAATTTCAATAGAAAGAAAATTTTTTACTTGGAAGGAAATTGAAGACCAGATAAGATATTTATTTACTATATGATTTATTTTCTTTCTCATCTCCATTTCTAAGTATGGTGGTTGGCCGGAATGATTCTGAGATCAACATCATACAACTCAATGAATAATGTGCTATACAAAACGCACAAGAATAAATAATTTTAACACAATCCAAGGTGTAGCATATGTTACATGGGGAAAGTATGAAGTTGCTGCAAGGTGTAGCATATGTTAAGGTGCATCACATGCATTAACATAACATATGCTTGATGCCAATGGTCGGTCTTTTACCCTGTGCCACACTTGTGATCAATCTTCCGTTCATCGTTAGAAAGGTGGCTCAAACTGAGCCAACCATCCCAACATATAAAAATCAATTTGACTCATCGAATGGCTCCGAACATTGAACAGCATGAAGTGGCGGCCGGATTTAGGAGATGCAGACTATGGTTGCTGTTGTGAAGATGCTTGGATCATAGATGTCAGAGAGGGATGAATGCGGGCTGTTTTCATTGAGCGAGCTTCACTTCTTCCCTCTGCGTATTCCTCTCCCAATGGCCACCTTGGCCGCAGATCATACTGATTCATAAGGCAAAAAACTGATAAATAAGGCTCCGGTGAATAATATAATTGACGGATAAGGAATATCTGATTAAGCAGCCAACAGCCTTGGCTGAAATGGTAACTCAACACAAACAGGTATGTTGAACATATGTGGTTACTGGCATAGTTATATGTACATAATATAGACGCATGCTTATGAAGGCCAACAATTTGATAGTTGGAGTACTCTCTGAAACATAGTTCATCCAAAGATTCACAATCAATTTAATTGTTAGAGAAAAAGTTCACAGCAGAAAACCTGTTTTATTATAAGGGGGACAAAAACAGTACCTTGTTCTGACGCAGGAAACATCAACTCAAAAAAAATTCAGTATGAGCATGGCTTATTGGTAATAACAAGGGCCAACACTAGGAAATGTTTCCTATATTTTATTCATACTTATTACTTCATTTTATTTTATTCTTTTGTGGCAAAAAGAGCCAGCGCTACATCTTAAGAAGTGAGGCAAAAATCAATGGAAAAGAGATCCAGATTAAACAAATGACTAAGCATGAAAATAAGAAATTGAATGAACAAAGCAACAGGCCCCTACTTAAGGGGGATCACACTCCAGCTACAGTGGAGCAGGATCTATATTAACAGCTGTATAATTGAAGTATCGATAGTATCACCGATATGGATGACATATTGATAGTCGTTAACGTGTTGAGATGGATGTTGATATGGATCCTGCTCCAGCTACAGTGAAGCGGGATTCTCCTTAAGAAGGGCCCTGTGAAAAAGCAATCATATGTAAAAATAGTTTTCAAACAAACCACAATATCTTCAGGTTCATCCGAAGGTGGTGGTGGATCAAATCTTCCTATACGAAAGTTCTCAATGCCAGTCCAAGCCACCATGACACCTGTTCATGTTAAAGTCCAGACATTAGTCTTCAGGTCAGGTAATGACCACCTTGTCCGACAAGCAATAAATATATGAAACGTGCCAAAAGGAAATTTTGTGTAAAGATAAGGAAAACTTGGTCTCAAACTAGGCATTAGTCTTTGTCCAGAAGTCTTTTCCACATATGTTAATGACCAAGTATGGGTACATTAGCTTTTAATTCTCAGAATTAAGTCACATCAGCTAATAATGGTAAACATGCTAAGATTCTTCTTTATCAAGGGAAAGTTCACCTCATCCACAAGTTGAGCCGAAACTAGATAAAAGGAATTACCATTGTCAGTACAAAGGCTGGGAGGAGGGCACACAAGTCGTAAACTGTTTCTCTGGACAACCTGATCAAGGTCTCAAACTAGGCATTAGTCTTTGTCCAGAAGTCTTTTCCACATATGTTAATGGCCAAGTATGGGTACATTAGCTTTTAATTCTCAGAATTAAGTCACATCAGCTAATAATGGTAAACATGCTAAGATTCTTCTTTATCAAGTGAAAGTTCACCTCATCCACAAGTTGAGCCGAAACTAGATAAAAGGAATTACCATTGTCAGTACAAAGGCTGGGAGGAGGGCACACAAGTCGTAAACTGTTTCTCTGGACAACCTGATCAAGCTGAGCCCGAACATACTGATTTGATGCAACGCCTCCGGAGACAACCTGCATAGGATGAATATATAGAGCGATTCAAGCTCTATATTCAGGAATACTATCATAAAGAAGAGATGCCCACCATCATGAGGTGGGTTAAAGAATACAAAACTGACAAAAGTGCAGTTTACACACCAAATATTTTACAGAAGGTTCAATCTTCAGAGCCCATTCAATTGCTCGCTCGCACCTTTCCTCTAGATGTAATACTGCGACTCGCTGCATAAGAAACAATCTTATTGTGAAGAAGAAATAGAAGAAAAAAGAGTCAAGACCTAAAATTTCAAAATCTGATCAAACTATGATAAAGACTGAAACAAATACACATTCAGTAACCTGAAAAGAGGCAGCAATATCAGCTCGAGTCCTTCTATCTTCGCTGCTCGCTGAAGAAATAGGAATTGTAGCATTACTGCACAACACAGGAAAGATTGCGACAAAAAGAAAATAGCTAAGCTAGCTGACATAAATAATTGCGCAGAACAATATAGTAGTACTGGAAACAACCAACAACAATTTTTTGTGCTTTAACAGTCTTATCAGTTCCATAAGCTGTGTGGTCAACATCTGTAAATAGCCAGATTTCCTTATCTTCAGTAGAAGTTAAAAAAAACATGTAAAACCAAAGTCTCAGCTTGCAAAATGATCATATATTCTACATAACCAACATGCATATCTCCGGATTCAATTGCAAGCCTCACTTGAGTCTTCAGGCCAGTGTATGAGAAGTCACAATTGTTTCATTGGACATGCATGATATAAGTAAAGTTCAGGACAAACATAAAATAGAAGTTTCAACCTGCAAAATATTGTATCTACAGAATATACATACATATTCTCAGATTCAATTGCCAGCCTCACTTGAGTCTTCAGACCAGCATACGAGAAGTTGCAATCTTTATGTTGTTTCATTGGAATCTAGAAAACAAATGAGTATCAAACTTAGGATACAACTTCACGTTGCAGGAATCTAGGTCATATATAACAGACTTCGTATGTAGAACCAAACAATACATATTCAGCCAAAGGAAACCAGACTAGATAAAGAGAATGTCTTGGAAGATAACTTACTGAGAATTTGATTGATTTTGCATCACCCTCTCGAGCAAGCTCTTCTATAGCTGGCCCACCACTTCTCCTCAAGTCAAGACCAAGCCATTTTGCAGTCTTGTCATATGCCTCACCAATTGCATCGTCTATTGTGGTACCAAGTTGTATGTATTGGCCAAGATCACGAGCAAGAATGAGTAGATTATGTCCTCCTGATGACGGACAACAAGAATAGAAAGGAAGCTTTACTAAACCTGCTGAATCTGCTCTAATTTACATTAAAACATCTATATGTTTTGAACGCTGACTAATAAACTGAGCCACACCACTGAAACTGAACAACCTCTCCTCTGAAAAAATATATCTATACAGAAATTCTCCTATGCGGACGTCTGGACGTTATCACCATGCGGACGTCTAGATGTTATCACTGTCTGCATAGGAGAATTTCTGTGTATATAACATATAAATTTCCTCAACTAAATCAATGACACACAGCAAAATCACCCACTTTTCTTGCTAAAAACAGACATTTCAGTGGTTTTAGATTTTGAAAATAACAAATAAGGGAAAAAAATTAGGTGTGACTTGTGCAAATTTAGTTTGCAACATATGAGCGTACTGTATATGTCAGAGGAGTAACCTATGGACTTGAATGTGGTCATGTAGTTTCTTATTTTTCTGATTATGGTACTGTCATGTAGTCTAAATATGTAGATCGAATTTGAGTGAAATTAGTAAAATAGACCTGATGTAGGAAAGGTGTAGAGTTTCTACCTGAAATAAGCAGGGCCATGAAAGGGAATTGTAACTCTCTTTCGTTTAACCTAGAACAAGAGAAGGAGATTTATCATATGTATAAGTAACTCACATCAGTATTTCAAATAAAAAGCTAACGATAGATTAGGCAAATTTAAAGATACAATATTCCCCTAAGCGAGAGAGAGAGAGAGAGAATCAGTATTTCAAATAAAAAGCTAACGATAGATTAGGCAAATTTAAAGATACAATATTCCCCTAAGCGAGAGAGAGAGAGAGAGAGAGAGAGAGAGAGATTTTGTGCACCCCATTCTCCATTGGATGGATAGTTGGCATTCTGTACCTGGCTACAAGAGCATGAGCCTCCATGTGATGTACACCAATGATTGGTAAGTTAAAGCTACCAGCAATCTTACGTGCTTTCCGCACACCAACTGCACAACAATTGAATGAAACATTAGTGCTAATAAACTCCTTAGCAGTAACAAAGAATTCAAATCTGGTCAGTTCAGGGCATAAGAAAGACAATGTGACCCAATTCCTTGTAGTTTGAACAGAAAATTGATGCTCAAAAGATAAAATTAAGTTTACTACTTTCATCACAATGATCCCCGGCTGCTATATTAAGGCCAGGTTTCCCGGTACAAACTCAACCATAAGGCATCAGTGGTAAGAAAATTTTCAAATAAACATACAACACTGGAAAATTAAGAAGAAGATGAAAGAGAACAAAAAGTGATAGTAACTTTACCACGAAGACAGAGGCCTAAACCAGGACCAATAGTAACCGCTATTGCAGACAAATTCCTCTCAGTTAATTTAGCTTTGTCAAGCGCTTCTTGCACAACCTGCAATAAAAAATCACAAATTCAGCCCCAAGTTAACATTAAATTATTTTAAAATCACCAAGAAACAAAAGAAGATAGCCTTGAAGCATTTGAATATATTACAAGTGATAATTTGGAATGAAAAAGCCATCCAAAAGTGACTGACAGTGACATGGCAAGTTTGCAAAACAACTAGGAAATAAGTGTGATGTAGCTGCCAACATAAGTATCAAAATCGGGCTCAAGTACCACATGTATAAACAAGAAATGAAACATCGAACTGAACTTGAAGGGATCGTACCGAATAAACTTTACCTGATCAATCACTTGCAAGTGCGCTTCCTCTGCCATTTTTGGAGCAACACCTCCATATTGAGCAAGCAAATCTGCCTTGATGCGGTCAAGGCTCAAAATTAGTAAATAGTATAAGTAGAATAAAGAAATTATATAAATTAATAGCTCATTCTCGCTAATTAAAAGAACACACTACATAGCACAGTTACAGGACCATATTGTTTCCACCATACACTTGATTCTAACAAGTAGATATTTGAAGAGAAACACACAAAAAGCCACCACCTTTTTCAGCCCAATTCACCAATGGCAATGGAAGTGGAAGGGGGGAGAATTACTACAAGGAAGATGAGCAATATAGTATTCATGGAAAACCATATAGTAGTAGAATTCATGGCTAACGGAAGAAACAGAGGGCTAGCTTTCTCAATGGTTAACTTTTTTTTTTTAATGGAAGAAACAAAAGGAAAAAGGTTGAATTTTTTTCAAGGCAGCAGTCAATCAAGGGCTCGTAGAAAAGGTAAACATGACAGGGACGCAGACCCAGCAAGATTCTTCTTAGTTTTGTTTCTTTTGGCAACTTAAAAACGAAAGCTTTATACAAGAATCATTGTTGTTGTGTACTTGAAATGTTTTGAGTGTGCCAAGAGGGAAAGGGGTCTACTGTGGTCTCTTCTATCTACACCACTTATTTCAGTTGGGTTTTCAAGGAGCAATGATATATCTCCATAAAATGTTTCACCTATCTCAGTCTCAGATAAGAAATGCTAAGATCGTGGGCGACTTTCAGGTTTCAGCTGCGTGAAAGTCGTACGCGTGGATGACATTTCAGCGGTTGACAGACACAACTCTTGAGATTTTTCAAGTCTTACAAGGAAGGACTAATTGATCATCAATTTCACTTGTGAAGTTGTGATAGAGGCCAAGGTCATGCAATTATTATCTCTATAGTTTTTTTTGTGGAAATATGAGATAACTCAATCACCCTTCTCGAGCTTTATTCATGACCAGCAGTTGTAAATTTTGAAGAACAAACTTATGATTACTTATGTGAAATGTGGATTATACTAGTACATTTTTTTTCTATTATGGTATGAATGAGTTTTGCAGTCTTCCATAAGTAAGCCTTAGCCCCCAACTACTAGGCCTCAGTAAGAAAAATCCTCTTTGAGTTTCTTATGCCCAATCAAGAAAATATAGCAAAATTCTTCAATTTTCCTTTATTAATTCATTAACACTCTCCAGGTTTACTGCCAAAACTAAATCCAAGAAACAAAATATACATACCTGAGAAGACACAACTTGGCTGAGGATTTCACCATTGCCTCTTACCTGTACTCAAAAAACCCAAACAAAAAAAAAAACAAAACTCAGTCCAGAAAAACACAAAATTGACAAATTCCCAGTACAAAAGAAGCATCAAAGGAACCAAAATCAGTATCATACGACAGCGGCAGCGGTGTCGTCGCAGCTGGTTTCGATGCCCAGAACAACAAGATCATCTTGGGGACATGCAGTTGGATTATGAGGTTCTGAAAAAGTGGGATTTTTGGATATGGAGAGGTGGGAGTTCAAGGGATTCAAAGAAGAAGAAGACATGGGAAGTGAACATATGGGACTTAGTTTTTGTTTGAGGGGTTTCAGAGCTTTGAGAGTGGTTTGTAAGTGTGAAAGTGAAGGTTTTGGGAGGAGATTTAGGCGCCAAAATCTGAAAGAGAGTGCCATTCAGAGAGACAGAGAGATGATGAAGAATATGGCGCACACAGTAACTTCAAAGAGACAACGTATGTGCATTGTCATTCCTCGAAACGCTTCATTTGGACAAGAATGAAACGATTTTCGGTTTTTTCATGTGGGTTCAGCCCAAAATATCAGTTGGGCCAAATTCCTTTGGTTTTTCATCTTTCAAATTGGGCTCATCTCAAGTTTGTGTTAAGCCAATGAAATCCAACAGTCAGCCCTCAAATCTTTCTGAGACTTGCTTCTTGACAGTAGTTTTTGTTGCAATTTGTTTATAGAAATACTTCTATTTCCAATATATGAGAGACTTGCTTCTTGACAGTAGTTTTTGTTGCAATTTGTTTATAGAAATACTTCTATTTCCAATCTCCACCAAAAGAGGTCATTCAAATTTCATGAACGACATTTATTGAATAATAAACAAAATATACATGAATTTTGAATAGGAAACAGAAAGATTATGAATGAAAGGAAGTAGTTAAGTGAAGTCTTGTTGTAGATTATCTATTGATTCTAGTATTTTTCGCCCATCCTTTACATTTTGTTTTTCTTAATTTTTGGTTTGCCCTTAACTTTTATGATCGCCTCCTTCAAAAATTCATAAATTGAAAAAAACAAAACAAAACAAAACAAAAGTTCAGAATCGTGATTGCCTAACTTTTTTTTTTTTTTACAAATGTTGATTGGTGCTTAGTAAGGGGGTTTGTAACTCAAATGGTTAAGAGCAACTACCCATACATCCGAGGTCCTGTAAAAGAAAGAGAAAAAAATGAAGAGAGAGCTTATCCTTATTATATAAACTTTTTTTTTCTCTAGTGTCAATGCAAATAAGAATATAAGTATAACTTTTGTATTAGATAATAATTTATATAAGATAGTAATAAGTATAGGGAGATATTATTGGATAAATAAGTAGAGTGAATAACTGAGTAATGAGAGGTTTTTTAGTGCAAAAGTAAAGCTCCCCAATGTGCTATAAATATGACAAAAGACATTGAATCCTTGCAGAAAAACTATGACGTCTGTAGTCAAAATGGGGTGTTAAAATGCCATGCTTCTGTTTTGACTTAATCTGAAGTCCCTACTGCATGTCTTCATGTGGACTATGTTCTCAGGACACATGTCGTTCTCTTAGATTATCAGAGCAATCTTTTGTGCTCAAGTTTGTAGATTTTCTGTAAGTAAATGTGTCCTTTGTCATCTTAAATTAACCCACCATTCACCAACCAACATCTGTTATCACAGAAAGTGTGTTGGAGAGGCTTAGAGCTAGCTATGGCTCCAGAATCAGAACCTTCTGCAACTTCAGCACTTAGTGATAATAACTTCAAGGTATCTTCTAACTCAGAGCAATGATATGGTTTATGAAATTATAATGCTTAGCCAGTTTACTTTTCTTCTCTTTTCTGTATAGATTTCCATATATATATATATATATATATATATGTGTCATCTCTTTGCCCAGTTATATAATTCGAGAACATGGTTCTAATCCTTCGCAATTTTTCTTATTTTTCTGTAGTTTAGTTTCCATGTTGTTTCATATCCATCATTCCTTGCTCCTAGCTATTAACATTTAAAACTTCTTCTCTGTACATTGCATTTGCAGACACAATCTGTCATCCCTTGCCTTATTTAATTTTCTTTTTGCGGTTGCATAAAGCTAATTAATAATAGTATTAGAAGTGCAAATCTTCACAACTAAGCAAATATTGGAAATTTCATTTATGATCTTGATGCTACAATATATCCTATTTGCCACAGCTGTAGACAGCACTGAATTCCCATAGTTTGAAAGCAAATTGTGATTACTTAATCTGATTTTGAATTTGATATGATAACTGAAAGAAGTCTGGAGCACCTAGGGAGGCCTCTGGGAACAAATGTCCTATTTCCATTCCATAGCACAGGCACACTCATAATCTATGTTATGTTTTTCCAAGATTTTCTTGGTGGAAATAACAACATCAAATGTTCATCTTTGTCACAGTGTTTCGTATATATGGATGATTAACACTTAGAATTTTATATTCTATATAAGGCCTGGCTGGATATGTTTAATATGTCGATAATTTTCATTTGGAAGGTGTTTGAGGTCGATCAATTGGAAGGTGGCGAGAAGAGACTTTTGAATGCATGCACAAGAGATGGCTCAGTTGATTGGTATGGAAAACCAGCCGTAAAAGGGAGCACTGGTGGGTGGAGATGTGGAATGTTGCTATTAGGTATGTGTTCTTATAGTTCACACATCATCATTGATGTTATTAATGATAATTCCTATCATTTCTGGTTTTGGTATTGTTCTAATAGGTATCCTTTAGTATCAGAAACACAAAAATGTTAATATCTATTTCTAAATATACTGGCACTTTTTTTTTCTTTTACTGTGACAGTTAATCAAGGACTAGTTTCACTGGCATTTGCTGGAGTTGAAGTAAATATGGTTCTTTTCGCCAAATCAGTACTGAGGCAGACCAATGCAGAGGCAGCAAACACATTCAGCAGATGGATGGGAACGTTCTATTTCTGCTCTCTAATTGGTGCTCTTCTTAGTGACTCCTACTTGGGAAGATACCTTACTTGCGTCACATTTCAAATTGTCCACATCATTGTAAGTTTGCCTTCCAACGTTCACGACCGTCTCCCCCTTATGGCATGTCAGCCATATGAATGCTCACTCTTCTCCAAAATTTTGTATAATCTTAACCTCTTTTGCTTTTTGCAGGGGTTGATAGCATTATCCTTGTCAACCAACTTATTTCTGCTCAGACCTCCTGGTTGTGGTGAAATAGGCCAGTTATGTGAGCCTCATAGACCAATGGAAGTTGCTATGTTCTACATATCAATTTATCTTATTGCTCTAGGAAATGGAGCACCAGAACCCGCATTGGCTGCCTTTGGTGCAGACCAATTTGATGAGGAAGATTCAGAAGAAAGGCAAGCCAAGACTTCATTCTACAGCTATTTTTATGTGGCATTAAATCTTGGATGCTTGGTTGCCGAGACAGTATTGGTTTACATGGAGAGCATGGGGCATTGGGTGCCGGCCTTTTGGATATGTACTGGTTCTTCTGTTGTTGGGTCTGTATTGTTTTTATGTGGTAGTTTTAGGTACAGACACTTCAAGGCTTCTGGAAATCCCATTTCTAGGTTCTCCCAAGTGATAGTGGCTTCCATGAGGAAGATAAATCATGAGCTGCCCTCAAATGGAGGAGGACTTTATGACACCATTGGAAGGGAGGGTGAAACAAATGGTTCGAGAAGAATCCTTCACACGAAAGGCTTCAAGTAAGCATTTTCAATTAAATGGCTTTTCTATGAAACTAATTATAATTCAATTACTTTTTATTGAAAATTATAAGACCAGTGTCCTGTAAAGGAAATTTCATGACAGAATTGGCCCCTGCATTAGTCACACTCAGAGGTTTCTAATGAGTATCATTCTGTAATTCTTTGATCATCTTTCGATGTACAGGTTTCTTGATCGAGCGGCCTTTATTACCCGTGATGATATCTCGCTGATGTCAAACCAAGGACAAACTCCAAATCCATGGCATCTTTGCACTGTGACACAGGTTGAAGAGGTGAAATGCATACTGAGACTATTGCCAGTATGGCTTTGCACCGTCCTCTCCTCTGTGGTGTTCATTCAAGTGCTTTCTCTTTTTGTCGAGCAGGGAGCCGCCATGGATAGGAGGGTCTCAAACTTTCATATACCTCCAGCCAGCATGACTGCATTTGACATTGTTAGCACCTCCCTCTTCATCATATTATATGACAAACTCATTGTTCCTTTGTACACCAAGGTAACAAAAAGAGAACCGAAGCCTCCAAGCGCGCTACGAAGAATTGGAATTGGCCTTGCAATTGGAATTGTAGGATTGATAATTGCTGGCTTTGTTGAGAGAAAGAGACTAAAATATGCTAGCAACAGCGGAGAAGAGACGAGTTCTTTGAGTATCTTCTGGCAGACTCCACAGTATGTGCTTGTGGGAGTGTCTGAGGCATTTGTATATGTTTCACAAATGGAGTTTTATTCTTCACAAACACCAGATGGACTGAAGAGCTTGGGGATAGCTTTGTGGATGACTTCATCAGCAATGGGTAGTTATGTTGCAAGCATGATTTTAACGGTGGTGATGGAGATCACGACGAAGAATGGACAGCCCGGTTGGGTTCCTCCGAATCTGAATGATGGTCATTTGGATAGGTTTTTCTTCCTGTCAGCTGGTTTGACTGCACTCAACTTGGCATTGTATATTTTATGTGCCAAGCGATATAAGTCTATATCATTGGAGAAAAGAGAAAGTGTAAACTGATCACTAGCCTTATAGTACTTGCTGAGAACATGTTTAGTAAAAGTTGTGTTTGTACCATATTTGGAAAATGGACCAAAAATGGTCTATCTCTAAAAAAAAATATTGAAGCCCAGGCACAATATCTTTCATTTTCTTTTCTTTGGAAAAGACAAAAGGAACTCTTTTAATAATGGGGCGACAAATGGATAAAAATTAATAGAAGCCCATAGCACCAAGAAGCCCAAAACTTTGAGCCATACTAAAGTTAAAAAAATTGGTAACCGTTACACATAGACCCATGTGAGGGTCTGGAGAAGGATTGTCACCATTAATGGCGACTTGACCACCTTCTCGCCCAAAAAGAAGGGGAAGCTGGATAAAAGCCATTAGGACCGGAAGGAGCCAATTGCCAACTGGATTTCCAAAAGCAGAGAACTCAAGTCAGAGAAACACCCCGTATAACGAACGGTTTTGTCAGAGACATTCCATCCTTTCACCTATGAACCAGTCCAAATCAACAGATCAACAGCTGACTTTGGATAGCAGCCAAATACCCTCTTTCATCTTTCATCATTGAGCTTTCTTGCTTATAAATATAGAGCCTCCGCAACAGAAGAAGGGGACTCTCTCTCCAAAACTAGACGCAACGTCTTGAAACCACTTGAAAAACTCAAGACCTTTTGAAACAAACCTGCTTGATATTCAGATAACCAATTGACAACTCCCGCGTTCATCTTTTGTTGCTCTGCCATCCTTATGGTATGATTT